GATACTTGAATTAGTTAGATTTTTTTTCAGCTGAATAATGTATTGGAGATTTAATGTCATTACTTTTTTTTTTCAGGTTTTCAACTGTCCTATTAGATCCGACTCTGGTTCTGTGCTGAAAGAATTAAAGGAGTCCTCACATGACTTGGTATGCCAATATTTCTGAGGAATATGTATGGAAATTTTTGTCTTTGCTGAATAGTTAATGTTCATAACATGATTAACTTCCAGTTTGTAATTGTTACATTTATAGTAGCTAAATAGCATAATAGGTGGCTGCTGGACTTTGCAGTTATCTTAGTAATTGCCCTCAAAATATTAAATTAGCAACGATACTTGAATTAGTTAGATTTTTTTTCAGCTGAATAATGTATTGGAGATTTAATGTCATTACTTTTTTTTTTCAGGTTTTCAACTGTCCTATTAGATCCGACTCTGGTTCTGTGCTGAAAGAATTAAAGGAGTCCTCACATGACTTGGTATGCCAATATTTCTGAGGAATATGTATGGAAATTTTTGTCTTTGCTGAATAGTTAATGTTCATAACATGATTAACTTCCAGTTTGTAATTGTTACATTTATAGTAGCTAAATAGCATAATAGGTGGCTGCTGGACTTTGCAGTTATCTTAGTAATTGCCCTCAAAATATTAAATTAGCAACAAATTTATTTTTAGGTTTCATAGAAAACAGATACAGTCCCATGCAAAGGAACTTCTTTTTTATTTCATGTCAACTTGGCATATAGTTTGTACTTCGGTGGAATATACAATCAGGGCTTATCATCTTCAACACCCCCCCCCCCCCCCAACAAAAAAAAACATCTCCAAAGAAAACAAAAGAAGAATGTGTGTTGGGCTATTATTTTTTTACATCTTGCATAGGATTTATGTCATGTGGTCGGATTATGGTTTACACTAGTTGTCAGCTACCTAACGCAACACTCTTTCTTATTCTAGCATGGGACAGGCCCAGCACTTTAGCAATAAAATTAAAGCACAACATTAGCAAAGTAAATTAGTGTTGCTTCAATTGAGGATAAAATGAGAGAGAATAGGATCCATGTCGTTAATGGAACAATGGAGACCTCTTAGTGCATCAGGTAGGAAATGTGATAATATTGTAGTTAACGGAACAAAGAGATCGAGAGGTAGACCCAAAAAAACTTGGTTGGGAGCAATCAAGAAGAATATGATGATGGCCAATTAAATGGAAGAGATGACCTATAATAGAGCATAATAGAAGAATAGGATTCATGTAGCTCACCCCAAACATTTGAGATAAAAGCTTTGTTGTTGTTGTTGCATCTTGCTTAGGATATATCTTGACGTTTTTAGATGTTACTTATGGAGATCTAACCATTATATTTGTTATGTTTTAATTAATATCTTTTCAACTGCTTTAATCCAGTGCAGTATGATGTAAAACAGTAAAAGATTATATGGTGCTTAAAATAGCGGATATATTTCAACTGTATTGACAGTGTTAAGTATCTTCTTTACTTTTCTTGGTTAGTTGCTGCATCTATTTGGCTACCTATCTCTTTAGGTGGATACTTTCTGTTAACCGGGCATTTTTTGGGTGATATTGAATTTCCTTTTGCCGTATTCTAATAGATGTCACGATTTTTAGGTTATGATTACTGGGGACCAGGCTCTGACAGCCTGCCATGTTGCCAGCCAAGTCCATATTATCTCTAAACCTGCATTGATTCTAACCCCTTCAAAGAATGGAGGGGGTTTTGAGTGGGTTTCGCCTGACGAAACTGAGAAGACTTCTTTCAGGTAAAAGGTCCCAAGTCCCAACGTGTGCATTGTATGCAACTTGGTCTTTGAGTTTCCTGCTTTGGCTTTGAAAATTGTCTAGCTGATTCTTTTCGTGACATTACTATCTGATCACATACTGGTTCTTCTGAATTTTTATTCTAGCAGTAGCACCCTTTTGGTTAGAGAAATTTTAAAACTCTGGTTGCTATCAGATTTATTTACATATTGGGTCTGAGAAATAGTTGTCCCTGCAGTGAGAAAGAGGTGGAATCTTTGTCTGAGTCTCATGATCTTTGCATTGGTGGGGACTGCTTCGAGAAACTAGAGCGAGCTGGTGCTGTCATCCAAGTCATCCCTTATGTGAAGGTTAGACATCATACATTTGAAGTAGTAAATGCTTATAGCTATTCAGTCTTACAATCCGCAAAATGTTATGGCCACAGGTCTTTGCTCGGGTCGCCCCTGAACAGAAAGAGCTAATATTGACCACTTTTAAATCTGTTGGGAGGATGACACTGATGTGCGGTGATGGAACAAATGATGTTGGCGCACTGAAGCAGGTATTTCTGATCCTGTGTTTTCTCTATGCAACTATTGGATGGCACGTGAAATATTAACAACCATAATATTTTACTTCCTTGTACTCCTCGTTTTAAATTTGGGATAGTTGATCGTAAATCTGTCTGGTGCTGTTAAAGCATCAAAGTAACAATGGAAAGTTCTATATGGTTGTAGAATTATGGAACTATTGGATGACACGTGAAACATTGACCACCATAATATTTGACTTTATTGCTCTCCTCGTTTTAAATTTGGGATAGTTGATCATAAATCTGTCTGGTGCTGTTAAAGCATCAAAGTAACAATGGAAAGTTCTACATGGTTGTAGAATTATGGGAGAATTTCCTTATAGCCATGAGCATAAGACCTGCCCATTAAGATTTTGGTTAGAATTTTTTCCTTTTGTTTCATGCTATGATTTTAGATTGCTTCTCATGTTATGATTTAATCTGGTGCAGTTTAGGTTTTGACAGGGGGCTTTTTTTTTTGTGTGCGCTTAATCTCATTAACAATTAGGTCCGTGTTGTTTCACATATACACTTGTTTTATGTGATCTTGGGTATGGTTATCTATGTGCCCGCTTTTTCTCCCCTATTCTTTTCTGATTTCATAAAACATGAAAGACGAACCTCATTCCAACTTACAAGTTATATATGCTGCTTTATGTGTTATGGGCCATGATTTTTGCAAGATGTCGGTGCACAAGTAAGAGAAAAGGTGTGCAAGGGAATTTTATTTATAGTAGTAGTTATTATCAACTTTTTGGGGGTATGGTTGATGAGTATGACAAGTTTTGACCTGACCCAGACTCCAACAAGAATGACCAGGTATTGAAGAAGTGATAAGGGTCATAATTATCTCACCTGCATAGCCCTTTTTTAGATGGACCGAGTCTGGCTATATGATTGTCACCCAGTTGATCCATCCATGGCAAATAAACATGCATATTAGTTCAGCCAGTTTTAAATTGAATTGTAGAAAAGTGATCTCATCCCGATCTGTTTGATGCCTCAATGACTGATATTGGCATGTGCAACGTTATTTTTCTAAATATTTTCTTGAACCCGTATTACAATGAAATAGCTTTCACATATATTTGTTGTTCCATATTCTAATATATTGTGATATCCTGCAAAATTCAGGCCCATGTTGGTATTGCTCTCTTGAATGCTGTTCCACCTGCTCAAACAGGAGATTCAAAACAATCTTCGAAACCCGAAGCCAAGTCATCCAAGCCAAAGAAGACTAAACCCATTGCAGAATCATCAAATAAACTCGGCTCATCCAGTAGCTCTACTTCCACCACTAATCGCCATCTCACAGCAGCCGAGAAGCAGCGAGAGAAACTCAAGAAAATGATAGACGAGATGAACGAGGAGGGAGACAGCCGTGCCCCGCCAGTAGTTAAGCTCGGAGACGCCTCCATGGCCTCTCCTTTCACAGCAAAGCACGCCTCTGTCGCCCCAACCCTAGATATCATTCGTCAGGGCAGGAGCACTTTAGTAACTACCCTTCAAATGTTCAAGATCCTTGGTCTCAATTGCCTCGCAACTGCTTATGTCCTAAGTGTAATGTACTTAGATGGAGTCAAACTCGGTGACATCCAAGCTACAATAAGCGGAGTCTTCACCGCCGCTTTCTTCCTCTTCATCTCCCACGCTCGTCCTCTTCAGCATCTCTCTCCTGACCGGCCGCATCCAAACATTTTTTGTGCCTACGTCTTCCTCTCTCTCCTCGGTCAGTTCGCAATGCATCTATGCTTCCTAATTTCAGCGGTTAACCTAGCATCAAAATACATGCCGGAGGAATGCATTGAACCAGACTCGGACTTCCACCCTAATCTTGTGAACACGGTTTCCTACATGGTGAACATGATGATTCAAGTTGCCACATTTGCTGTGAACTATATGGGACGGCCTTTTAATCAGGGGATTTCGGAGAACAAGCCGTTTCAGATTGCGTTGTTGGCGGCTGTGGGGTTTTTTGTCGTGATAACTTCTGATGTGTTCAGGGATTTGAATGATTGGTTGAAGCTTGTGCCTTTGCCCGAGGGGATGAGGGGGAAGTTGCTGCTTTGGGCTGGGCTTATGTATGTCGGGTGTTATGGATGGGAGAGGCTTTTGAGATGGGCTTTCCCCGGGAAGATGCCAGCTTGGAAGAGTAGACAAAAGAAAGTAGCTGCTGCTGCTGTTGCTCAAGAGAAGAAGCTCTCATAATTATATTGCTATTTATCATTTTTGATGAGATAGTTACTTCCCCTTTTAAGGATATATTATTGGTAGAAAATTTGTTAAACATGGTGGAAGTTCATGGAGAGAAGTGGTTTGGTTATTATGAAATTTAAGAAGGGCTGAGTTAGAGAATTTGTAGACTTCAGGGGACTGCAAATGTGATTTTGGGTAAAAGCCTTGGATCAAATGAAATTGATGGAAAGCTGATCCTTACTTGATTTTTTGTATTTGTGTATTTCAGCCTGTGTGCTGAACAAATGTATTCTTAGGAGCAGCTATTGGTATTCTCTTCTATTGGTTTATCAGTCTCAAGGATTTTCCAGTTGAGTTTTCATATCCTTTTAAACATGTTATCTCATACAAAACTTGAATATTGGATGCAAAACTTCCCCTTCGCTGATATATTTGTAATGAAAATTTTAAATTCTGTCATATTGTTTTTTTTTATCTAAAATTGTATTTAGTTTCCAAAAAAATGGAAGAGGTAAAGTGAATACGGAATTAGTAGATTTCGGGATACTTCTAACTGCTGTAAAAGCTTTGGATCAAATAAAGATATCATCAGCAGTTCCAGTTTGATTTTGTTTATTAGTTTATTTTTGGGAATAGTTATTAGTGCTAATGCTGTCACCTTTGGACGAGCGTAATTCTCTTCAGAGTATAAAGTGTTACCTTGATGGAAATTATAAATATTCAAAAATTTTCAAGTTTGAAGTTTATGCGATTGCACTATTGTCATCCAAATCTTAAAAGACCAAAACTAAGTTTACATTAAAAGCTTATGTCAATGAATTCAAATTTAAGAGAAAACAGAACACCGAGTGTACTATTATCACCGGTTAACAAAAAAGAAACAAAGATTGAGCTCGCATTTTACGTTGCAGAAATGGGAAGAAAAGTTACAATTGTAAATATCCTTCTACAACCTTTTTTTTTTTTTTTTTATTGATCGCCTCCATTGGCCACATTCAAATAATATTCCAAGATGTCAACTTGAACATTGATCCAAATGCCCCTACTACGAATTATCAAGACGTATAGTTTATCGCACTAAAATTCTAAGGTGAACACACGTGATTAAAAGTACATAATTCAAGGTATATAAGCACTTCACCTTTTGTGGAATTGAAATAGTTAAGGGGAGCAATCTGCAAATCCCCCATAGTTTTCGAAGTTAAAAGAGATTTCGTTTCTTAACATGGCGAGGGAAAAAAAAAAAGACCCTATCCAATTCCAACGTCGACAACAGAAAAATAAATACCATGCGATTTTGCGTTCCATGGTACTACCCAAGGTTCCTTCATATATATGGTTCACGAATATCGTTTATTATCTTTAGAATGAGAAATTTCCAATTTGAGTTTTCTATAGACTCGACGTCGATATATAAATTCAGAGAAATTGTTGGTCGAAGGAGATGCCCTAATGTAGTACCTCTTTGGTTTTCTTGAAATTTTTAGAGAAGAATATTGGATAGGGAAATTACATTTTATAATTGAAGGAGGGAGGCAAATAGGCTTTTTAGAACGTTTTAGGGATTGAAGGAAAAGCAAGTGATGAACTGGACACTGATTTAGCTAAACAAGTAATATGAGGGTGTCGCGTCAGATTTTTGAGAAAAGTGTTTTCACACTTAAAAACATTTGGAAATGTCACTTCAATAAATTTTTAATTACTAAAAAACACTGTTGAAACAGTGACTATGAATAAAACAGATTACTTAATCGTTGAAAACACTATTACTATTGCGCCTGATTTCCATTTCCTTTTTTTATGTTCAAATAAACACTAGAAATGTAAATCGAAACACTGTTACTATTGCGTCTGGATTTGTTTCTTATGTGACGTGGTGGTGACGTGAGGGTGATTTCATTGCGAAACAAACAAAAAAAAAAGAAATACGGGAAATGTCTTGAAATCTCTCTTGAAATGAGTTGAAATGTGAGTTTTTTATTTCCGATTTTTTTTCGGAAAACAAACTAACAGCCCACTATTTGTCATCCAAAATAGCCCACTATTTTCTACAAATAGCCCCTTAAAAGTTGTAAAAATTACAAAGAACCCCGGCCTTTCCTTTTGGGGAAATGTTTATTAGTGTCGTCGCCTTCGGACAAGCGCAGTTCAGAGCAGTAGGTGTTATTTTCTTCCGCTGATCATGCTATCTCAAAAATGGAAGCAATATCTCAAGCAAAAATCGAATATTCAAAAGTTTCAATTTTTTTAAATTTTATGTGCTTGCACTATTGTCATCCAAATCTTAAAGGCCGAAACTAAGTTTACATTAAAAGCTTATTTCACTGTAACCAAATTGACGAGAAAACAGTTTACCAAGTGTACTATATAATTACCCGATAACCAAAAAAGCTCATGTCAACTTTGCTGCCAATATAACCCTGCAAAATAAATCTCAAGATATCAACATGATTAATATTGATTAATGAAACGTTCCAACCAAGACCATGAAGATGCATAACGACATTATTGCAGTGTAACTTCAAATGTTAGCACATGTTTGACTTTACATAGATGCCCTACAGCATTAGTTAATTGCGGATCGCCGTCCTGTAGTTTCGATGTTTTGTACCTACTACTCCTGTAGTTCTATTGTTGCGGATAGAGACACTTGGTGATTTTTTTATTTATTACCGTTTTACCCGAAGAGAAAGAGATTTTTATTTTTATTTTTATTTTATTATTTATTTATTTGTATAGATACCCTACGACATTAGTTAATTCTGCACAACCCTCCCGTAGTTTCACTGCTTTGTACTTACAAACCCCTGAAGTATCGGGTTTTTTGCTTTTTTTTTTTTTTTTTTGCTTTGTACTTACAAACCCCTGAAGTATCGGGTTTTTTGCTTTTTTTTTTTTTTTTTGAGCAATGCAGGCCAATTTAAAACCCCTTTTTTGGTTGACAAATAGACCCCCTAAGGTTAAGGGAGTCAAAAAAATACCACTCAACGGGTCTATTTGTAATAATAAAACTAGAGGGGGTAGTAAGTTCAAAGCAGGGCTACCACCAGGGTCATGTTTGCTATATCCACTCCCAAACAGTAATTTTGGGAGTTGGATTGTCGAAAATGCCCTTTTGATGTTGAGGGTGTTTCTGGAATGGACTTGACCTGTTTTGGTTTGGGAGAAGGGCAATTTAGTCCTCACACACCCCCAAAGTTACTGTTTGGGAGGGGAGAAGGGCAATTTAGTCCTCACACACCCCCAAAGTTACTGTTTGGGAGTGTGAATAGTTGGACCCCACCAGGGTGTGTTTTTTTTTTAAAAAAAAAGTAAAAAAGTAATTACCCTCCGCATCTACTGATGCGCGCATGAATAATAAAAGATTTCTCTTCTTAACATGATTGGAAGCGAGTTTCATTTTTTTTAAAATAAAATTGAGATAATTAAGTTTAACAATAAATTCAACGAACATTAATTAAGAGAAAATTAAATAGTTCTAAAATTAGCCTATGATATTAAATATTCAGGGGTCCTTTTTCACATTTGCATATATAACTGGAAGTACCAAAACAAGCATCGATTTTTAAGACTTCTAGAACATAAATATTTTCTAATATTTTTGACAATATTTATAAATAATAATAATATGGTAGCTAAATTGCCATTATCTGTAGCGGGACCATATTTCTAGCATTGTATTTTTTTCCTCTTAAAAAACCACAAATAAGTGTATTCTAGCAGTAGAAAAAACGTCCAGATTGATATTAATTTTATATTATAACTAGTTTCAGACCCGTGTGATGCACCATTTTGATATTATTGAGGTTATAATTTTTTTTTAAATAGGTAAATGTTATAACTTTTAAATATATTTCAGAAAAATAAACCATAATTTGCTCACTACTTTTAACAAAAGAAATTAAAATCATACAGAAATGAACATCCATTATACATCTTCAGTTTTCTACCAATAATTTAGGAATTTTAGAGGAATTATTTTATGCACTAAACCACTCTAATTTAAAATAGAATCTTCATGCAGCTTCAAGCTTTGTGTATGAGATTATTTCTGTTAGTTAGTGGCTAGTGCTATACCCGTTAAATGTTACGAAATTTTTTTCCAGCCGTTTATAATAAACATCTAAAATCTTTAAATTTCTCACTAATCTCTTAATAACCACTAAAACCCCAAAGCTAACATTACTAAACTATGTGTAATCAAAAATTAAAATACTCTCAATAGATTTTGGCAGAAAACCACAAATAAAAATTAAACATTTTAGCATATAACCCACAAATTTTAAAACTATGAATTTCTTTCCCCTTAAAAAAATCTAAATATTACAAAAAGGCTTTGGAAAAAAATGAAAACTATAATTATCTATCTAAGAAATTCTAAAAATTAGAAACAACTGCATGAAAATCTAGAAATCACAAACAAAATATGGTTGTTTATAATTTTTTAGGGGTTCTAGCGATCTATTTGTGATTTTTTTTTTACTTTTATCAGGTTATTTGTAATTTTTAATTTATCATTTGTTTGTAATTATTTGATCTTTCAAGGGTTAGTTGTAATTAAGTTTTTGATTATTCTAGGTATTTATAATTTTTTAACCTTATGGGATTGTTTGCAATTCTTAAAATTTATAGTAGCTATTTTCAATTTCATACTTGAGAGAGTTATTCCTCATTTTGGGATTTTCGGGATTTTTTATAATTTTTCATAATATTTATACGTACATTTGCATTAATTTTGAAAATTTTAAAGTTGTTGTATGTAGTTTTCGAAACTTAAGGGGTTGTTTTTAATTTACAAAGCTTGCAGTGGAACTATTGGTAGTTTCTAGTATTTTGATGTTGTTTGTAATTTTTGTATTATTAGGTGGTATTATGTAATTTTTCATATTTTTCAAGTGTCTATTTTTGTAATTTTTAGATTGTTCATAATGTTGTTTGTTGTTTTTGGACTTAAAGGTGGAAATTTGTAACTTTTAGATATTTCAAGGGGTTAGTTTTTATTTTTAGATATTTTAGGGGGCTGTTTATAATAATTGAATTTAAGAGGCGGTTTCTAATTTTATGATTTTAAGGGGAATATTTTGAAAACCCATATTTTGTGATGTTGAATTTTTCTGATTGTTATTTGTAATTTTTTATATTTTTATGGTTTTTAAATTTCACATTTTAATCGGCTTCTTTAAAAATTTCAGAATTTTCGTGGGTTTTTTTTTTGTAATTGTTATATTTTTAGATGGCTCTTTGTTCGTTTTTTTAAACTTTTTGAAGGCTATTGGGTAGTTATTACAAAAAAATTAGTTAAGAAGTTTTCAGTTTTCAGTTTTGGGGGTCAATTCGTAAGTAGGTAATATGAGAGGTATACATGCAAAAAAAATCTATTTTTTAATGTTACTAGTCTCGAGAGATAAAAATCATAGAGTAATGTCGGTATGGGATTGAAGTGAAAACGAAATAAAATCAATCAATCAATCAAAAAATTTTGAACATTTTTGAGAAGTTTAAAATATATATTTGGTAGTTAACTGTAAGAAGCAAAAACTTATTAGAAATTTAGTGTAATTTACCATATTTTATATAAAAGAACTTGATGATCTAGACTACATGTATATAACTATCAGCAAACAAAAACAAAAATAGGAGGTTTCAAAGACATCAAGCCCATGAGATTCAACTATGCCACAATAATGTCTTAAACACCATCTCCTCATGAAGTTACATTATTCAGCATGGTGGTTTGTATAGTAACTGTAAGAAACAAAGAATGGATGTTGCCTCGCAACATTATATGCGACTCTAAGAGACGCAAGCCAAGGCAATGACTCTAGTTTTATCCAAACACACGCTTTGATTCAAAATTAATTTCGCGTTCAAATAAAAATCAATATACTGAAATTTTTAAGAGAGAAGGATAGATGAGGGGGGAGTTAGATGTGTGCTTGAGAGGATAGAGAAGGGTAAGATTATAGGGGCTGTTTGGTTGTTGTTGGTGAAGTTGTGTATTTATGACACAACTTGGAAAGTTGTTGTCTACCTCATCAATTCCATTTTTATACTTTTCTTTGTTTGTTTTTTATTCGATTGGAATCATAAATTGTTTGTTTGGTTTGCAAATGTAACTTTAATTGTTTATTTGGAAAGTGTAAAAAGCGGTCCCTACTCAAATGATCATATTGGTTGGAATTATTTTTTATTATTTTTCCTGACTTCAATGTCAGCTTTCTCCTAAAATTATGTCTTTTTTCATGAAATCACTTTACAAGCCACATCAGCATATGAAATCACTTTACACTATTTTCATAACTACAAATAAACAATTAAAAGTGATGAAAACTGATATTAGGACCCACTTTTTTACACTTTACATCTTTTTACATGTTAAAAACATACAACCAAACAACCCCATATATAGAAGAGAGGAAATTGTCTGCAGAGAAAAGTTCTCTTTTGAGGAAAAGATAAAGGTCACACAAGTATCAAAGCGATAACACTGTTATCTAGGGCTCAAGACGAAGTGGTAGCATGCAGGAGATATAGATTGATTTATTTTATTTAAGAAAAATAATTTATAAAAAAATTGCCAAGTGGTAGATTCAAAGATAAGAGATTTAATATAGTATATAAATATTATAAGACCATACTCTCACAAGTAGGGTGTGCAACAGTCGGTTCGGTTCGGTTTTTACCAAAATTTGAACAACCGAACCGAACCGTCTATAATTCAAAACCAAACCGAAATGTTGCAAGTCGGTTCGGTTCGGTGCGGTTCGGTTCGATTTGTTCAGTTCTAACTTTATCAAACTTCTTATCAAACAACAAACTGTGTTAAAGAAAAAAAAGATATCAACAAAGTAAGAGATTATGAAGCATTAAACACTGATATAATGATATTATTTTCAACTCATAATGATTCAGAAAATGAGTTTAGGGTTTGAGATCTCTGACTCTTTGGGGATGAGTCGGGTAGGGTTTGAGATCAGAATGTGTAGTATTGCACTATATTCGGTCGGTTCGGGTCGGTTCGGGTTAAAAAGTTTTCAAACCGACCCGAACCGTCCTACTCATAAAACTGATTTTTCCATGCGGTTCGGTTCGGTTTGGTTGATTTTTTCGATTTGGACCGAACCATGCTCAGCCCTACTCACAAGTCAAAAAAGAAAAATGATACATGCACACTCCAGGCACACCCTCAGACACATGCCCTCTCTTGCTACAATACATTGTACCTCACATGAGATTTTTAAAAAAAAAATCTCATGTGAGGTACAGTGTACTGTAGCAAGAGAGGGCGTGTGTCTGAGGGTGTGTCTGGGAGTGTGCCTGTAGTGCCTATGGAAAAAAATCATCCTATCAAAAATGTCAATTTAGTAATTTAGCACGTGAGCCGTTTCTGCGCTGAAGTTGCCTTGCCGGCTACCGAGGGAGCTTTCTAGAACCATCGTTCGTAACAAGCTTGGGTCCACATCATCACAAAATCACCAGCCCAAGAAGTCACCTACAGCAATCACGTTTCGCGGGCCCCACAAAACCCGATCAGATCGGGTGAAAAAACCGCGTGTACTTTCATGTCGCCCTTTTAAACCAATCCGTAGATCCGTTTTCGATATTAGTATTTTGAATATAGCACCTCGAATAATTGAAATTGCATTTAGGTTCTAATCCTTGATCAATTAGGTCCCTCAATTCTTATAAATAGTTTCAAATTGATCCCACAGAGTTAAGGCTATTTGGTTGTGTGAAAATAGAGTTGTAAATATGAATACAAGCATACAATTTATCTTTCAGCTGTTTGGTTTATAACATTTCAGTTAGGAAAGAAAAATGAACTTATAATTGCAAGAAAAAGCTAACAATAATGCAACTAATTTGATGGAAGCAAATGCCACAATCCAAAAAAATTTAAAATAAAATAAATCATATTCATAAAAAAATCTTTTTAATCTAAATAGAGAAATTATCTAGGCCCAATTTTTCTCGTGTAGTAAAATTTAGTAGCTTTCGCAATAGTTTTCTTTCAACAAAACATTGAGTTAGCATTTAAAATACATGGTCTATAATTAAATTGCAAAATATCCAAAAAGCAATCAGTTTGATGTCATCCAAGAAATATGCTATGTTTTTTGCTGCAACATTTTCTGTGACTTGTTTTTTTGCAACAAATAAAAATTGCGGGAGCGGCGAGCGATTTCAATGACTTGAGGCCTAATTTGAAAATATTAAAGAGCCAAAGGTCTACTATTAAAAATTCCAAACCCGAATCAGATCTCCCACAATTAAAGCACCGCCTCCACACGAAAAATCTCCTCTGTGTAGGACTCACACTGAAGTCCTCCCCGCCCTTTCTCTCTCCTCCTCTTCTTCTTCATGAAACACCCCTCGGTTCAACGAAATGCAGTCGAATTCTCAAGACCCGACCTCAAATTCTAACCCTAGCCCTCACCCTAACGGATCTCCCGCCATGTTCCCCAACCCAATCCGCGGGTCCCACCCGAGCCCGATCCGAGCTCCCGTTCCGGATCCCCGACGAGTTCACGGATCCGCTAGGGGCCTCGAACAACTTCGATGAGATCGGATCCGAGGACGATCTGTTCTGCACTTTCATGGACATTGAGAAGATCGGGTGCAGGTTGGAAGGGAGCGGATCTGGATCTGAGAGCGGAGGCGCTCGGGATCCGATGGCGGAGATGATGATGATGAAGCCGGAAGGGAGCGGATCTGGATCTGAGAGCGGAGGCGCTCGGGATCCGATGGCGGAGATGATGATGAAGCCGAAGCATCGGTACAGCAACTCGATCGATGGATCGTCGATGATGAATTCGTCGGCGATGGGAGGAGGAGGAGGAGGAGAAGGGGGGAGTTTCGAGGAGGTGATGGAGGCGAAGAAGGCGATGACTGCTGAGCAGCTGGCGGAGTTGGCGGCCGTCGATCCGAAGAAAGCGAAAAGGTCAATTTTTTTGGGTTTTGGTTGGATCTTGCGCTTGGTTTAGTGATTCTTCTGTTAAATTTAGTTTTTTCGACACTGACTGCTTGAATTATAGCAGAAACAGTCGGATTACTTGATTATAGATTGCTAGTTATTAGTTGTTTCACCGTTGTATTTAATTTTGACTGGTGAGTAGAGCATAGACTAGACATTGACCACAAAACACGAAGGAGCTAGCGGCTTGACGGGAAGGTGTCTTATTTACAGTTTTTAGTTATATTTTCAACAATTCCTAATCTAAGGACAAATCGGAGAAAACCATCATGAAGCTATTTGAGCTTCGTTTGTGAGTGCTCATTGAGAAAAAGTTGTTGACTTAAATATAAAGTTGGGTGACAACTTAGGTTTTTTTTAGCTAATCTTGCTTCTAATCTATGTTAAATCTCATTTTAACTCTCTAAGAGGCATGACTTCTTAGGGAGTGTCGTAGTCCATACTGTGGAACAGAGGGGAGCAAAGTTCAATGTGAAGCTCGACGAATCACAACAGTGGCTAAGCTCCAGTAGCACGTTCTATTAGATACCCTGTGAATGTTGGTGGTTGTGATCGTGTTTATGTTTGCTAGTTTAGACCAAGTCAGATTTATCGATGGATGGTGGATGTTGTCATAAATTGATTATTCGAGGACTCCTGCTTTGGTTATCCATAGTGATTGAGATATGATCGCAAATGATGTAGAAGATTATTGGGAGCTGGGAGTGTAGTCCCACGGTGGAATAGAATGAAAAGTAATAGATTTAAATGGAAATTTGGAAAAATACTAACAATTTAAACTGATTTGTTAAATTGCTTTTTAGCATAACAAGAGACTTGATTCTTCCTAATCGAGCTTTCACTACTTCTCAGTTAAGCTATCATGAACTTTGTAAAATAGAGAAAAAACTACCAGACTTTTTCCAAACTTTTCACTGAATATCATCTGTCAGTTTGCTATTAGGATTGGGTCACATGTTCATGTGATGTTATTTTCTGAAGAAATTAGCACTTGGATTTTATAATTCTCCATGTGCCTCCTCTCATATTTTTTTCTAACCTCTTTTATTGTATTCTCCCACTCACCTACCTGGTTGTTATAATCATGGCATATTCTATCTCTTGATAGATCAATTACTTCACTTTGCCACTAAATAGCTGCCACAAGTTTTGTGATGGAGTGAATGTTGATGAGCTCATGACCTTCATCAACGAGTGGGATCGAGGCTCGGAATTTAGTCAAAAAGGTTGGATATAAGGAAGGTATTGGAGTGTAAACTGAAAAAAATAACATCTTTCTGAAAATGGGGACTAAAGCATCCTTTTTTAGAAAAGGGAAGGAAACGGAACCTGGTCACTGTTCGAGGGGATAGCGAGAGATCTTTGTGAAAGTTGGTTTGGGTTTCTTGTTTTGGAGGATGGAAGAAGTAGGTTAATACTAGATCACGTTGATTTAGAGTTGGGTTTGGATTTCTAAAAACTTATAAATTATAAACTGAAAGTTCAGAAGAAATATTGGAGCAGGAGTGTTGGCGTGGACATAGAAGGGTAGTTTATTGAGCTTTGGGGTGGACATGGAAGGATAGTTTATTAAAATAAAGAAATCTAGGGTGGGTTCGTTGATTGTTGATAGAAAAGGTCGGGACATCATTTAACATATTCTGTAACTTGTAAAGGAGTGTATTGAAAGGAGATAAGTCTATGGTAGTTTTCTGTATTCTACAAATCTAAAGCATCGGTATAATAACTTGATTGGTGAATCATTGGCAATTTGAAGAGGAGAAGGGGGAGGAGTTTTTGAGGAGGTGATGGAGGTGAAGAAGGTGACGATTAATTTGCAACAAGCAGAGTTAGCGGTGGTTGATCCAAAGAGTAGATTAAGGTAAAGTATTTGGGTCATGGTTATATCCCAATGCTTATTTTGGTGATTGTTTAATGAAGTGGTTAGTTTAGTTTTTTCTGATATTAACAACTCGAGTTTCAGTAGAAAATAGTTGGAACACTTCGTTGTAGATTACAAATTTCTAGTTTCTTTACCGTTGTTTTCAAGTCTACCTAGGGAGCGGATAGTCTAGATCTTGACTCCAAAAGAAGAAGCTAAGAGTGTGTTTGGCAAAACCCTCAAAACTAGGTTTGGTTTGATCTTGACTTAGTTTTGAGGTAAACTGGTTCTTCTTTGAACCAAGGAAGGTGTGGTTCAAAAAGAGCTAGTTTTAAACCTTTTCTCAACCTAAAAGAAAGTGGGCCAATTCTGGCCCTTTTTTCTGCCAATCAAGGAACAGACCCAAAACTGGGCCAGGTTTAGTCCTAGCCCAATTTTAAGGGTTTGTCAAACACCATCTTAAGGCTTATAAGAAAGCTTGTCTCCCTTCTTCATATATTGTTCGAGATAGAGGCTGTATAGGTTTTACTCTCTTTTTTCTTTTTTTGCCACAACTGCTAGTGCTTATCCAATGCTAAATTAGTGAGAACTGTCATGAATTATTATCATTTTTATACTAAATTACCATGTATATTGTAACATATAGAAACCTACCATTAATTTATCCTAAAATTTTATAACTATTTTTCTTCGGTCTGACATTAGGATTAATCACATACTCCTTACGTGCTCATTTTTTGAATTCTTCACATATCTCATCTGCTTTTTCATTAGTTTTATCATTTTCACCCACTCACCAAATTGCTCATATGCAATCACCTTCTTTTCTCTCCCCTCTACATCCATCATCTTGGCATTCTGCTAGTAAAGAACCGCCACAGGAGGAACACAGCGATGGAGAGAATGGCGTGTAGTTAAGAATCTTTGTTTGTGACTGCAATTTACGCTTGGGTATTTAGTCATAAGGTTGGTTTAGGGTTGGAATTGTGGTTACACTAATTGAGGATTATAATTTCTTCTTTTGGAGGAAGGAAGGAGGTGTTAAAAAATTAGGTTGAGTTAGAGTTGGATTTGGTTTTTTATATATCACAAACGAAGCTGGGAATTCATGAGAGAAGAGTTGGTATGGACAGGGTCACAGGAAGGGTAGATTAGTGAAATAAAGAAAGCCAGTGGGGTTATTGATCATAATTGATAGAAACAGTAGATATGTCATTTAGCATCTGCTGACTGCTGTTAATACTCTTAGTAAATTGTTTGACTTGAGAGAAGTTCAAAGTTGCTTTTAATGGGTTTGAGAGAGGATGTTTCCATTACCTTACACATGAAGCTTATAACTATTGTCTAGCTTGATAGAGCTACTTATCAAGACTGCAAGCCGACATAATTGTAAATGTGTTGAACTTTTAGCTGTTTACATTCCCTTTCTCCCTTGGGCAATGATGCACATCTCTGTTCCTGCTGTGGTTCTTCATTTTCTTCTCCTTTTCCAGTGGATTGGGCAGGCACAGATTAGGTGTTCCATGACAGATTTCTGTGTTATGTAATTCTTAATGTGTTTCCTTGGTCAGTTCTCAGAAATTGTGATATCTGTCTCTTTGCTATGGGAGACGTCATTTGTGCAACTTTGGTGGTAATTTATTTTCACAATCTAGGTATAAACCTGCTGCTTTTATAAGCCGTAGCTATTTGTTATATGGATAATTACAGACAGCTTTCTGGCTGCTTTGCTTCTTTACATTTATTATGTTCTTTCCTTTTCTGATAGCAACCTAGTAAACTTTGGACCCATTAACCCACAATGACCCAAGCCCAAAAAAGGTGATACAAAACTTTACATTTTGGGAAGTATCTTATTACTGCAAATTCAGTATGTGATCAGTCCAGTGCTTACTGTTGTTGTTGGTTAAAAGCACAGAGTGATGAGCTCTTTCAAAATTTAGACATTTTTCATAATAAGTATCTTATGACTGCAAATTGAGATTTGAGACAGGAAAATGAAGTAATAATTTATTTATCGATAAACTTTTAACATTTTTCAACAAGTAAGGTGTTTAGATGAAGTCATCAAATAAAAGTACAAATATGCATATCATCATGTTGAACACCTTTGAGCAAAATATCTATCATGTTGGCCTCCTTGGACATTTTGTTTCTTATTCTGCAGAAGATTCTATGATGAGTATTTCATGCATTTTTCCTGTATTAGTGTTACACTTTATGTTATATTCTATACTAGTTTATGAGATTGTTTTAGTGAATCACTTTGAGATTCTTGTTTTTCCTTTGCTTCGAAGTTTTAAGACGGATGCATAAAGATTTGGTATTGGTATGTAGAATTCTGGCGAATCGGCAGTCTGCAGCTCGCTCGAAAGAAAGAAAAGCACGTTATATGTCAGAACTTGAGCGGAAAGTTCAGACCCTTCAGACTGAAGCGACAACACTTTCTGCACAGCTCACCCTTTACCAGGTTTGTCCTTGCCTCTTTTTTTCATGAATAAAACGTCTAAGGTTAGCTAAACATTTTTTGGATTTTGCTTTATACTAAAAAAACACCTTACTTTTTCATTTGCTAACCAAACATCTCATTTTCATTCTTTTAACGAAAAATCCTGTCTTCTATTCTTTTTTCTTTAAAAAATCTGATTCACATTTTCTGTCTCTGAGTCTTTGCAGATTAAGGTCTTCTTTTTATGGTAGAAATTCCTACATGGACTTTATAGTCCAATAATTTTTTTCCTTTATGTTTTATTCTACATGAGGGTCCAATGGTGGCTTTGAAAGTTTGGTTGATATTTCCAGGAAATGTATTAGTTTCTGTTGATGCAGTACTCTTACCTTAGGAATAAAGTCTCAAGTAGATACTAATATTAACTTGGTCTTCAAAATCAATTTACTTTTATAACCTTATAAACTTTATTGAAAAGGTATAGAACTCATTCTCTTTGCTACGTAATCTTTTTCTTTGCAGAGAGACACAACGGGGCTTGGTGCAGAGAATGCTGAGCTGAAGATACGGTTGCAAGCTATGGAACAACAAGCTCAATTACGTGATGGTAAGAATTCTTTTCAAGGTTGAGATATATGAATTTAATAATTTACTTGCTTATTAGCTTGATATATCTCCTTGGGGTCTTACAAAAGGACTCCACTAGAAGTATCTATAGTGTTGGGCAAACATGTGTTTGTATATCATTGCTAATTCTACTTAAAGGGGTACCTATTGCTGTATTTCTGTTTTTTTTTTTGTGTGTGTGTGTATGCATGTATGTAAATCATTTCTTATTTTTCTTTTCGTATATTATCCTTCTCTTCTTTGTCTTCAAATCTGAGTGTATTTTGTCTACAATCTTAACTAACAGACGTTATGCCTAGTTATCTTTCAATAAATTTTCCTATTTGAATTGGTCGAACTACATCAGGGTTGCATGACTTACCAACTCATGTGGTTAGTAAGCTCATAAATAGCAGAGGTTTTCCTAAGCGAGGGCTAAATAGCGCTTAAATACCGCTTAAATACCTTATAGTTCCACCACCTTTGCACTTATATAACCTAACTTGAATTTTTAAGGAGTTAATTACAAATACACTTCCTGTACTATAAGCGTTTAGCAACTTGTTACCCGTAATCTTTTTTATCAGTACTTAGATTACCTGGTATCCAAATGCAGTTCTCTTCGTCATCTGCCCCTGAACCCTGAAATATAGGAATATATCCAAAACCTACAAGAGAATAGGAGGTTTCTCCACAACACACTGAGATATCAAGGAATCTCTCTAGAACTCATTGGCATCACATGGGCATGATACCCATGTGATGGATACATATACCAAGTAGATTACTCTGTTTTGGGATCAGATGGCCAAAGTATATCTTCTTCTTTTTTAAAATCCATGACATGTTACATAGCAGTTATCCCCTATCTTTATTCAAGTTAAGCCATGAGTAGTTGATCCCTATGAATTGTCCCTGCAGCACTCAATGAGGCACTAAAGCAGGAAGTCGATCGTCTGAAAGTCGCGACAGGGGAAGCTGTCAACCACAGTGAAAATTACAACACAGGACTCCATCAAATGCCCTACAACCCATCCTTCTTCTCTCTTACTCACCAACAACAGCCATACCGTCACCAAGAATTCATTCAAATGCAGCAATCTTTCAATCTCTCAAACAGTCAAATGCTCAACCACTCCCGAGCTTTTTCAGAGTTAATGCAGCAGGATCCCCTTCGGCGATCGCTTCAGGGTTTGGACATTAGTAAGGTTTCTCCTGCTGTGAAGTCAGAAACCCCCTCGATTTCTGCAAGTGAGAGCAGCAGCAACATGTAAGTTTGTCTTCTGTTTATAGCCTGACACCGAACCATCATTTTTTTTTTCCTTTTCCATTGGTTTGATTTTCAGTCGAAGGTCCGATTCATTATTTCTTTCTAGCGTTTGTAAGTTATTTAACTTGTTTCTGATCTAGTTGGCAGAGTTTTGGTGTGTTGTTAACATGTATTGTGTAAATCCAATTCATTTGTGTGCATTGGACCGTCGGGGCAGCAAATTAAATGGTCGTGTCCCCAAAATTGTACAACATTTATGTTTACCTTTATAAACTTCGTTTTGAATTATCGTCATGTTTTGTGCTCTTTCCTCTATCTGGACTGATTAAAAAAAAATATCATGGTAAGAAAACTTGCACTGTGATCTGAGTTTTGAAATTTTCGCTTGCTAGATGAAAACCGTTGGCTAATAACAGTATATGCCTTGCAGAGAAGAAAATTCCTCTTATATTTACCCAATTAAATTAGCATCGCAAATGTTTTAGTGAATTCAGAATGATTTCTCTTATTATATCGAGAACTATCCGTAGAAATCTTTGTGAACTATGGTTTCCAGTATCCTCAATTCTCTTTTATTCGTGACTCTAAAGGACATCTAAGCTGACTAATTGCTATTTGCCTCAATAGAGACGCTGAGCTCCAGAGCAGGCATGGTATAAATTTCCTCTACACTCAGCTTTCAATTTGGAATTGTTCTCTACTGCACATTACCTAATCCAAGTCACTTGTTAATGCAAATTACTCTCTGCATCTTGCTCACTTACAAGATTAGAAAGAGATCCAAACCAGGACCATCCCTATAGGACTGGAGTGGTTTCCATCACAGGTAGAAGAGTTAGAATTCCTTTAAAAAAAACTACCAACCCTTCGTGAATGGTATAGATCATCGCGTTTTATGGGGGTGTTCTGATAAAATCTGCACCCCGTTTTGCGTCTCCTCTGCTAACTAGACTAGCGTAACTGATTCGATTCAAACTTTATTATGCTAAAACTGGGTCAGTATTAAGTCTGGTCTCGTTCCAATTTTAGGCCTTAATTAGGTTTGTTGGTTGTTTTGTTGGCCCAATAAGTTGGCCCGTTACTCTAAATACCCAGCTCCCCCACTTGTGCCCTAGCCCCTCTCTTTTCTTCACCTACCCGATGGTTCTCACCCCCTCCTAAGTCTTCGTGATCTGATGGCCGCCGCTTGCTCCCATCCGTAGGTCGGCTCCCTCCTTCGTTTTCTTCCCTAGCTCCTCTCCCGTGTCGGCTGCCCCCTTCCCTATATATGGGTAATGGGTTGGTAGTAGCTCGGGAGAGGGAGGAAGAGGAAGAAGAGATAGAGAGGTGAAGATTTGAGCTTGAGCTCTCCTCTGATTTGTGTGATCTCTCTCTTTCTGTGAGTTTTGTGCTCCTGTGGGCTTTGTGCTCTCAACCCCTTTGTGCGATCCTCTTTGTGAGTGACGGTTGGAGGAGATCAGTGAACTCTCCCTTTGTGTTCTTGGTGGTGCACTGTGAGAGAAGAACAGGACTGATTGTGCAGACCTCTGAGCCAAACAACAGCGACTAGATCCTCAACAGTGGTATCAGAGCGAGGTTAGTGTCGTTGTGCTTCAAAACCGCCGTCGATCGCCGCTGGTCGCTGCCGCTGGACACCGTCGGACCGCCGCCGGACCACCGCGTGGGCGTGGGTAAGGTCGAGACCCTCTCCTAGGGTTTCGCTCTGGTATATCATCGGAAAACCCAACTGTTACCATTTTCTTTTTCCTTCGAAATCTGTTTTCGCTCAGGAGAATTGACAAGAAAAAAAAAATATCTTGCCTGTGTTTTCTTTCCGCTGCAGTTAAGCTCTGACCTTGTTGAAAATATACAGTAAAAATTCTGTATTTTTTTCCCGGCTATAGTTGCATTTTTTTTTTTTTTGGAAAGTAGTTTCTATTATTGTTTGTGCTCGTGTGAAAGACCAAAGAGAGTGAAACAAGAACTCTGTGTTCATCGTTCTTCTCATTTGTTCGTGCTAGTTGCTTCACACGTTTTGAGCCAGATAATTACCGAAATCAGATTTGTTCATTGTTTAGTTGCTGTTTGTTTTTTCTGTGTGAAAAATGTCTGCTGCTAATCAATATAGTATGATCCAATATGGTATGGCTCCGTTCAACGGAAAATCTGATTTTAACATTTGGAAACAAAAAATAAAATGCATCTTAATTCAACAGAAGTCTTTTAGGGCTGTTGGTCAGACTTACCTAACTTCTGACACTGAAGGAAAAAGAGCTGAAATGAACGAAAATGCTTGTTCCACAATTTATTTGAACTTATCTGACTCTGTGATTAGAAAAGTTGGAATTTTGGAATCTGCTAAAACCCTTTGGGATAAACTTGAAGAACTCTATACTGAAACCTCTTTGCCCAGTAAAATGTTTTTGCTTGAAAAAATTTTCAAATTTAGATTGGATATGTCTAAGGACATTGAGGAGAACCTAGATGTTTTCACAAAACTTATTTCAGATATTAAGTTAACTGGTGATAAACATATAGACGACTATACTCCTATTGCCCTTCTAAATGCTATTCCTAACTCATATAGTGATGTTAAATCTGCTATTAAATATGGTAGAGATGAGGTTACCCTTGACATTATGGTCAATGGTCTTAAGAGTAAGGAATTAGATTTAAAACATTCTGGGGAAAATAAAAATTCTGATGAGGTTTTGCATGTGAGGGGTAGGCCTCAGAATAGGTCTAATAACCAAAATAATGCTAGTAATGGGGAATCAAGTAGGAAACAATTCGAAAATGGAATGGGTAGATCTAAAGTTAGAAAATGTTATAACTGTCATGAAAACGGTCACTTTATTAGAGATTGTCCTAAACCTAGGAAAAATCAACAAAATGATCAGACTAATATGGCTGTCTATGAGGACGAAATAGGTGAAATTTTCATGATTTATAATCTGTGTGATTATGCATATCTGAACTCTGTGTTATCTGATTCTTTGTGTCAATCAGATTGGTTGGTAGACTCTGGTTGTACTTTTCATATGACTCCATTTAAAAATATGTTTTCAAACTACAAGAAAATAGAGAATGGCTTTGTGTCAATGGCAAATGAAAAGAAATGCAATGTTTTAGGAACTGGTGATGTATGCCTTAGGTTTTCTTCTGGTTCTGTGTTTACTTTGAAGGATGTTAGGCATGTTCCTGATTTACGTTATAACTTGATTTCTTGTGCATCTCTAGAAAATGATGGTTTGGAGGGAAAATGGGGTAAAGGGGTTATGAAAATTCTAAAAGGGTCTCTTGTTATGTTTTCTGCTGAAAAACAAAATAACTTGTATGTTTGTCATGCTGAACCTGTGCTTGATTCTGTTAACTCTGTGATAAGAAGAGATGTTGTTTATGAATTTCCTTGTTTACCTTTACCTGTCCCTATTTCTGAAAATGATGCTCCAAATGAGGTGGAGCAAATGCCTATTATTAATCAACATGAATCACATCCTGATGAAATAATTATTGAAAATCAAGATGAGGTTATTCCTAATGAGGTGGAGCTTGATATGCATGAGATAGATAGCATGCATGATTTGAATGATTTTTCCCTTTGAACTCGATGACCGTTTGGTAGAGTTCGGTCCTTTGTGGACTCGGCATGCTTTGTGTGTTGCCTTTGTGGCCTATTAACCTGCTTTGTGTTTTTTGCTTTGTGCTTGGGTAATTTTCTCCCTTTGCTTTGTGTGTTGCCTTTATGGCCTATTAATCTGCTTTGTGCTTTTGCTTTGTGCTTGAGTAATTTTCTCCTTTTGCTTTGTGTGTTGCCTTTGTGGCCTATTAACTTGCTTTGTGCTTGTTAGTAGCTTTGTGATTTTTTTCCCCTTTGAACTCGATGACCGTTTGGTAGAGTTCGGTCCTTTGTGGACTTGGTATGCTTGGTGATTTTACCCCGATCTTTGTGATCTGAGTTTACTTAGTGTATTCTCTTCCATTGCTTGTATCTTCTTTGTGATTATACAGGTAATAATTTGGCGATGATGAGTCCTGCAGTTCCGTGTTTTTTTTTCTATGTGCACTACCTTGGGCCAAAGGTGGAGATTGTTGGTTGTTTTGTTGGCCCAATAAGTTGGCCCGTTACTCTAAATACCCAGCTCCCCCACTTGTGCCCTAGCCCCTCTCTTTTCTTCACCTACCCGATGGTTCTCACCCCCTCCTAAGTCTTCGTGATCTGATGGCCGCCGCTTGCTCCCATCCGTAGGTCGGCTCCCTCCTTCGTTTTCTTCCCTAGCTCCTCTCCCGTGTCGGCTGCCCCCTTCCCTATATATGGGTAATGGGTTGGTAGTAGCTCGGGAGAGGGAGGAAGAGGAAGAAGAGATAGAGAGGTGAAGATTTGAGCTTGAGCTCTCCTCTGATTTGTGTGATCTCTCTCTTTCTGTGAGTTTTGTGCTCATGTGGGCTTTGTGCTCTCAACCCCTTTGTGCGATCCTCTTTGTGAGTGACGGTTGGAGGAGATCAGTGAACTCTCCCTTTGTGTTCTTGGTGGTGCACTGTGAGAGAAGAACATGACTGATTGTGCAGACCTCTGAGCCAAACAACAGCGACTAGATCCTCAACAAGGTTAGGATTCATAATTGTGACTTTCTTATATTCTGTGTGAGAGGAAGGTTGGGAGATGGGTAGTGCGAAAATCTAACCCATTCTAATTGTAACTTTCTTCTCTTCATTTTACCTAATAAACCTTGTTTATTCTCTGTTTTTTTCTAAGATCGCATGTGTCCTTTCCACAAGCCGTGGATTTTCAATGGTGATATAAAGAGTAGAACGAACTAAGCTTTTAAAAAATATATACTAAAATGCTAGTAATATCCTGACCATCTAACTACTCCCAACACATCACCCCTTCACACCCAAAATAGAAATCTACTTGGTCCCCACCAAACCAAAAGTTTGTTGCGTGCCTCCAAAACAAAGGATCATGGGTGGGGCCCACCGACCTAGGAAGTCAAAAATGCAAATGAATAGTTGACGTGATTTGTGACGATATAATCGAGGGGAGACAACATCATATGGCTTTTCTCCTTGAACTCTCTCCATCTCTCTCTTTCGACGAGAATAAAGCCCAATATCAGCCTGTAGATAAGGCCCATGTCCCTACTTAGACCTGAGGCTGCAATCAATTTGGGACCACCCTAAACTGGACGAGCTCCATGCAGACTAGTGATACACCTCCCGAGGTCTATTTTTGGTCCCAATTAAGAGATTGGATTTATTTTAGAGGGGTCGGAATCATATACTGATGAGGTCCTTGATCATCATATATCCAC